AAATATTTTTCTGAACTTCTGTGTAACAAAGAAACCAAATCGTTCTTTCCTTACCCAAAAATACTGCTAGCTTTTGAAAAACAGATTTTGCTACAGTTAACCATCTTGCAGGAAATTCCAAGTGTTTGAGATTTTATTACATTCCAAACTGGAACAACACCTTAAACCTCACAGTTTAATAAGAATGGGAATATTCTGAATTGGGAACATATCAGCACAGCCAGACTTCTCCATCTACCAATGCAACTCAAGGGAAAAGGAATACTGTCAGCTGACAGTGGATGGGAAAGATGGAAATCTGGATTTACCCATGAACAGGAAGGCCTTGGAGCTGGGAGGACACCCAGAGCAGTTGAGGGATGCCAAAAAGCCAGGAAGCCTGTAATATGAAGAGTCACACAGTCTGGAGGGTGGTGGTGCCCACAGCCCATTTCAGATGAGCTGCCAGGGCCCTGCAAGTTTGGTAAAGCATTCACCCCAGACTCCAGAGGGCAGAAGCATACATGCCTAGTGCTACAGGGTGCTGAACTGTCTGCATGCCAATCTGGGTGGCAAGCAGAAGTTATAGCCTGCCCGACAGGCAGAGTGCTGAGGTCACCTTTCAAATACTTGCAACAGAGCTTAGTCAGAATTCACTGGCTCTTCAGTCACATTTCCTAACCAGAGGTTTCCCATCAGAACATCTTCTGACAAGTCTCTGGTTCTGAAGGAACATACAAATCCTATATTAAAACCCCATGTAATTAAATGATCGCTGTCTGGCAGGACACATTTCAGATAGCACTCAGTACTTGGGCTAAGGGCATCATCCAGAACTGAAACAAATTAGTAACTGAGTACTGGCACTATTCAACTGTGGCCCAGTGTAGAGACACCGTAAAGTGGTGCTGCTTATACATGCTGCTTCGAGATCTTAGTTATACATTATTGGCATCCTGGAGTGTTGCAAGATCTTGAGCTGGGCTCTCCAAAAAAATTTTTGACTAAAAATCAGAACAGTTTAAAAAACAACATTTGGCCTCTGTTTTGTTTGCCTTCTAATTTTGGAACTTGTAGTGTTTCATGGTTTCAAGTTTTGCCTGGAAATATGAGAGCTAGAAATTTACATTTTGAATAAATGAAAGCTGGCATTTTTGTCATCACATGACTTCAAAAGCTGGGGTTTGAGGAAAAAACACAAAACACTGTCAGGTCTCCACAAAATTGTGAGATTAGCAACATTGGTTTTATCACAAGTTAGGCTGCAAGGTTGACCTATTTTACCAACCATGCCATACTGAATATGAATTGCCTCATGAATTTTAACAACTGGATTTCATTTATAGTTCAATTAAAGTGACTTTTGTTACTGAGTTTCAAAACCATTCCTTCATCAACCTAGGCTAGTTTTTCTCTGAGCAAGTGGAAGATGTAAATTGTACCAAGGCCCCAAACTTTGCACTTTGGGGATACCCTTCAAGGCAACAAGACCACCTGTGCTCACTGGCTGTGTTCTGGAACCACCTTAGCACCACAGTAAAGGAACAACTAGCCCTCCTGATGGGGCAGCTACAGATCCCCCAACTGATACTCACTGAAGAGCAAGAGCACTACAAAGTCATTTGTGGGCTCCCAGAAAAGACAGAAGATGACACTGTGAGGTCGCCTAAAGCCTTGAAGAACTAAACCAGATTTTGTCCAAGAACTTGCTGGACAGTCAATTGTGTCTACATGCTCTTTCCTCAGCCTGCATATCAGCACAGAGCTGTTCTGAAACACAGCCTGAAATCTCCAGGGCTGTTGGTGCATGAGAGCAAATGAAACAAAGTTTCAATTTCATTTCTGGTAAAATAATGAAACTGAGGTGTACAGGGCAGAAGATCCCAAATATTCTGCCAGCAGAAGCTACACAGAAAAAGAGATCAGAACTGGAGGCAGTGTGCATGGGCAACTGCATTCCAAAGTGGCAAAAAAAAAAAAAAAAAAAAAAAAAGATGGAAAAAAGCTTAGTTCAGTCAGAGAAACTCACCCACCCTCACAAACCAGGTGTAGAGCATCTTTAAAAAAAAAAAAAAAGTAGCCAAAAATTATTCTAACAATATCCCAAAACATAAACATAGATCATGTTTTAGCATTGAGGTTATACAAATTCTTGACTTCAGCCTTATTAGCAACTTTTTCCCCATTTAGCATTACCTTTTACTTAACTCTCTACATGAAGACAACATGCTAGTCTTCCATGTTAGTGGAACTGCCTTCCAGCTACTCTGGAAGAAAAGGACTTGGAAAAGATGCAGTGTCAATTAGACACTCATGTGCCAGGTACACATTTCCAAGCTCAAGTAGCTAACGCATCCTTTCCTTACAAGCAGAGAAGCAATTGAGCTGTACTTAAACTCAGCATTTGCAGCACTGTGTGTGTACTGGTGACTATATGCTGGAGTGGGGAGAAAGGGGAATGTTTCCAAGTTAGAGCACTTAGAGAAAAGAGTCATAAATCATGGGGTCAGTCAGGTTGTGCTTTCTTTTAACCTTAGGGTATTATGTTTTCAATACAATATTTCAATAGCTTTTTTCTCTGTAATAATTTATCTGGAATTATGGCTACTCTTACAAGCTCAGAAAAAATTGGCTCAAGCAAAATGAATCCTTTGTCATAAATAGGTTGTGTTCATAACTGCAGCCTAATCATTCAATTGCACATAAGTCAAATAGTTATCCAGACTTTGTAGGAATATTTCCCTGTCAATAAATCTAACGCTATTTAAAAACTCTGGGCCAATGTGACAGCAGCCCGTTAGATTAATTAGGGCAAGGTCAGAAAACCTGAACTCACAGCTACATTCATGTCAGAGTTTTGTTCCACCCACCATAACCTGATTGTAAACTCACCAACCATTTTAAACACAGGCATGTTGGGGTTACTTCATTGTCTCCACTTATATATAAACACAGATTTCTACTTTTTACTCTGACCACAAACAACTACACATGCAACTGAGAAGAAATGCACTATATTGAATTCACTGATGGTGGAGTTTTTAAATTATTTTTAAATGATTTCTTTTTTTAGAGACTTGACAATAGTTGGACTGCTACCAGGGTTCAAAAGACCACAAGACCATACATACAGTGGAACTGTCAAGCAGCAGTCAGCAAAATCCAAATTTCACTAGAAATGGATCATCTCTGTGGGAATGAGAGGACAGTATTGTCTCTCTGCCTGTTTAATTCTTGACCTTTATCATGTGACCATCCAAAAGGAGAGTGCCCAAATTTGATGGGCTTTGTGTGAAGTGGACCCTGGAGGTGAAATTCTGACCTTGACAGGGTCGATATTTCATCCAAAATCCCTTGGGACAGGCCTCCAAATCATGTCTTAGGCTTGCAGCTTGTATCAGATGATAGCTAGCTGACTTTCATTTACTCCTGACTTAGGTCAAACTTGGATCAGGGATCAAGAGATGAAAGGCTCTATATCTCATTATCAATAATCAGTGTTCTCCACAACCCTAAAAAAAGACATACTTCATTCTTATCTACAAGACCTTAAAACTTAAAAGGGTTGGGGTCAAATTATGTTACTTCAATTTATTTATATTCACTGCTTATAAAACAACTTCCTCTATCACTCTCATAGCTAAATGCTAAAAACATAAATACTTTTCTTGCTAATGTGGAGGTTCTGCTATTGTTCTTTATGAGCATTACAGACAATGCAATTAAAAGAAATTAAAACGAAAAAAAATTCTCCCACACACAATTTTAAAAGAGAAAAAAGAAAAAAAAAAAGAGGAAAAAAAAATCCACAAAAACAGAGGTCAAACCTAATCCAGGCCTTCTAACATCAAAACTTTTCTTAGCAAATCACATCTTGTATACATGTTGCCCTGTAACATAGGAGTGAAACTTCACCAGAAGTTTTTCGCAGTTACAGAAGTCCTGATACTGAAGAAGTATCATTTGAAATATTAGCCACTTTTTTGCTAGCACGAAGCTATGCAACTCCTCTGATTTGGCTGGAATTATGCTTTTGTAAAGCAGCTAAGGATATGGCTCATAATTTTAGGCAACTAATTCTAAAGCATTTTGGAAGGAAGATCCTGATGTTACTGAACAAACAGAACATAACATCCGCTTCCACGCTGATTGCATTGCTCTGTAAATAACTGCATACTTAAACAGGCAGAGATTCTACCATGACTCTAGATAGCTGTAAATGTCAGACCCTTCTTTCTTATTTCTTGTAAACCTTCACAGACAAACTGATTTGCATTACATAGAGAACAAGGCTATGCATACGTACATGCAGAAGACAAGTACTGAAATATTGCCATGAAAAGAGACCTCCAAATGTGTCAAGGGAAGAAAAAGTTAAATAAAGTTTACTGGTTACACTACATTAGAATTTTAGAAATTATAAATAGAATTTTTTTTTCTCCTACCAGGAGTAAACACATAGATGCCTAGAACCTACACGTAGATGCCTACGCGCCTAGAGAGCCCAGTTGCTCTCTAGAATCTAACCAACCTTTAGGCCAGTTTGTCACACACTTACTTCACCTAATATATTGAAAGTTTCCTGACTTTCAGGAAACTTGAGGCAATGGGAAGGAGAGTCTTGATTACAGATCACTGAAGAGAACTGATTCAGCAAAGCCTCAAAAACAGATTTGGAAGAGATCACTGCAATCCAATACACTTTAGCAATGTTTTTTGCCACTCCTGATTTAAACCTGAAGAGCACTTTCAGAGGATTTCATCCTGCAAATCCTTGCTCACGCTACCAGCTCCTCTCTCATCTGCTTCCTGATTCCTGTAGGAGTAGTGTTAATCACTCAAGGCCTCCCAGAAATTTTTTTCGCCTAATGACAGGTAACATCATCATGTGTTTCCATAAATAAGATGTAAGCCATCTGCAGAGATCCTTAAAGATACTGTGACAATAATGCCCGAGGGAAAATATGAGGGAACAGAAAGGAAGGGGTAAAAGGGATATGGGTGGAGATACAGTCTCTGACCTGGATCTGCTGCTGAAGAAGGTTAATTTTGTGTTGCTGCTGCAGGAGTTGCTGCTGTTGTCTTGCAATCTGTGGAGAAATTGCACAGAAGTAATGTGAGATATGCATCATCATTCCTAAAGTTGTTGCACAGCAAACTTCAACCCTGCTTGGTCCTATCAGCTGCTAAGTTAAGAAACCTTCAAGCGTGGGTGGCAGCAGCCTGGACTGCCACTGAGCCAAGGGGCTCATGCTTAGGAGCATTCATAGCAAACACTGGTGTGAAAGGAAATCTTACAAAAAAATGCTGTTACGGATGTTAGGAGGAGGACTGACAAAAATCTCTCTCATTACCAGAAGTGGTGCTGTTAAGTAAAAAAAAAAAAAAAAAAAAAAAAAAAAAAAAAAAAAAAAAAAAAGAGAATGGAAGCAGCTCCTCCCTGCTGAAGGAGGAAAAGAGGAACAATACTGGGAGAGAAGATGGAAAATAGTAGGGGAAGGCAGAAAAGGCAAGTAAAAGGAAGATGGACAGTAAAATTATTTTTATTCTTGGTACCACCTATGCAAAATTTTCCAAGAGAGGAAATGGGACACTCAGGAGGCATTGGTGTATTTCACGGGTGTAGAAACAGACACAAAGAGACTGGAACAGGGTTTGGGATAATGACTGTGACAGTCAGCAGAAAGGAGCCTAAGGGGCAGAGCCAGTTACATGGCTCTACAATGAACCTGATTCACACAAGTTGATGGGGTAGTTACACACCTCCTCTCAAAGTCATGTGTGTTTTCCGTAAGGACTTCCAACCGTTGCCTAAATGACTAGGAGTTGTAGCATAGATATATTTTGCATACGGTGAAGGAAAAAGCAGGCAATAATGTAATCAAATCAGAGTTCTTAGAGGATGAACAAACATAAACCATGATATGTCTCAAATTGAAAAAGCAAACTCTGAAAATTTTCATCTGAGTCATCACAAAAGCTCTGCTCTCATGAATAGCTAGCACAGCAGTACAAACATTAAGGAGTATTGCTATTCTCCTGTGGAATGTGTACACATCTCAGGGTCAGATGGGAACTTATATACACTTACTGGGAGGAATTTTGTGCATTCTTCCTCTCAGGTGCTTTCTTTCATTTCTGTTATTAAACTATTAACGTAAGAAACACTCGTTCATAGCTAACTCCACATCTAAAAGATTGTTCTCTTTCTAGAGCATCTTTTTAAGTAACCAAATAGATTTTACCAATATATTTTTAAAAGTTCATTTTAAATTCTATGCAACAGAATTATACACATTTTCTCAAATTAAAATAAATCCTAATAAAAACCCTGAAGCGTTTTTTCCTTTATTTTTCCATTTCCTCCATTTTCTTTTTCACTCTGGGGTCGTTCAGTCATCCTGTAGCAGTGATTTCTTTAATAGTTAGGGCAAAGGGAATACACCTCCTGCAGGATGTCTCCTAATGGGGGGATTCTGCCACTTACACCCTCACGCCTTCCTCCATTTTCTCCATGCAAACAACAGTGTGATACAACTTGGCTGGTTTCACAAGTATGTCACTTTTTCTGCTCTCTGTGGGATTTCAGGTGCGAGGCCAAAATACAAAGCATTTAAGATAAAACTTTTAATAGAGAAAAAAGGGAAAAACAGAGCCAGAATATCTGAAGATGTCAGCAGTGCTTTAGAATCTTAAGATTTGTTAGCTATCATACCAATATTGAAGTATGACAACCATGACTGAATGTGCAGAGTACCATTATTTTTATTACAAGCTGAGATACATGCCCAGATAGATCAAATGCTTCCAGATAGGAGGTAGTAGAGTAGACTACTGACAAAATTTTAAAGAAGGTGTCCAAATATTCTCTGTTCAGGTAAAGAAATGGGCATCCATTTCCATTAAAATTCACATGGCACAGATTTGTTAGAAAAGTTGTGGTTTTGCATAAAATAAAATGTGTCAGTGTGTTCGCAACGGAACTGTTCATGTCCAAAGGCACGTTTATGTTTTCAGTGGAGGGAATATTTGCAAGAACTGAAAATCAAGCCTCTCAAGTGTAGAAGAAAAAACGTCAAATTTCTTCACTGACTTCATATTGTTCCCCAGTTTTTTCCCACAATTGGCAATACAATCATTTCATTTGCCTCATTACAACCCAAATGCTACATATTGAACACCACTGAATACAAGTAGCACTTGAGATTTTGTAGGAGTACTGAATTTGCACACTTATTTACACATACTTAAAAGAAAACAAAACAACAACAACAAAAACTACTGGAAGAGAATACCCCTGAACTGGAATATATCTTTGAAAGACACAGTACTGTGTATTGCTTAAGCAGCAAACTTAAAGCAGCATTCCAATTTATTTTTGCTCACATTTCTTCACCTAAGAAAACAAATATTCAAGAAAAAAAAAAAAGAGGTGAATAACAACCTTAGGAAGTATAAATCCTAAAAGATAATCTGCTGGGGAGACCTTCTAGAAAACGATTTTAAGCCAAAAGCCACCACAATAATCACTCACCTGTTCTTGTTGCTGCTTAGCCAGCTCCATTTGCTGGCGTTGCTTCTCGATCTGTGAGGCAGCCAGTTTCTTCTGTTCATCATGAGCTGCTAGCAGCTGTTCTCGCAAACTGGTCAGCTGATTGATCATACCCATGAGCTGCCTTTCTTTCTCAGCGAGGCTTTCTGGAGTCCCTGGGCATCATATGGTAGGGGGAAAAAAAAAAAATGGAAAGAGAAGAGAGGAAATTCAGAGCTAGTTAGGTTTTGCAGGTTCAGTGTAAGCAAAGTTTTAGCTGAACCAAAGAGCTGCAGCCCACTGCAATTTATGGCACATTATGGCCTGTCCTTCCTCAGGAAAATGAACCATGAAGGATAATTCCATATGCAGACTTTGATCCACTGTCCCCCTTCAATATTCTCTTGCCCATTCATCTACTTTCTGCTGCCTATCAGCTCAGTAGGGGAAAAAATACTGCCTGCTCTGAGTTTCAAATTTTAAACCTTGTTTACATTTCACAGGGATCAAAATTAACATTTCCAGTTCTTATAAACTACTGAGTTTTCAGCAGAAACTTATAACTAAGACACTTGCAGAAACTGTAAGGTCCACATTAACCTCTCTTGTATATTTAGTGGAAAGCAGGGGGGTCCCCTTGGGGTGGGACCTCTCAGCCTCCTCGCTGGTACTCCCACAGCACACAGCCACTACATCATTCCCATATGTCCTGATGAGGATGAAGTGATAAAGTATTTAAACTGTTAAGGATGAGTACTGCTGCCCTCACCATCTATTAATATTTTTAAAGGAAAAAGCCTTGCAGAAACATACCAGAAAAACTGACTTAAGTGCAACTCACCATCTCTCATGTTCACTGTCACTAGATGCTTTTTAAAGGAGGACACAGACACATAAAGGAGGACATAGACACAGGAACCGACTAACCTCTATCTCTAAATCATTCAGTAAAAAGCCCTCCTTCCACCCAGAATGACAGTGATTACAAGGGAAGGGAAGAAAAAATTCCAAGAAAAAAAAGCTATGAATCACACACTAGAAACAAACAAACAAAAAAATGCACTATTAGTATATCTAGTATCATTATACTACAAATTTAAAAGACCAGAAAATACGCGTAGCAGCTAATCCACAGATATCTCCAATACCACCACACCCTCTCATATGAGTCAGAGCCACGAAACCTTTTTCAAAAAACCCTCAGGAAAGGATTAGGACCACCTATCTCTATGCCTCCTCCGAAAATAATCTGCTTTTGGGGACAACCCTGCCACACAAACCTTTCTAAAATGCAGGAAATGCTCTTCTGCCAATGTCACCAATGCTCTCCAAGAGGAAAACAAACAAACAAAAAAAACCCAAAAAACAAAAAGAGAGAGAAAAATTTGGCGACTACACTAAACATGCTCCTAGCCAACTATCAGTCAGACATGGAAAAGAGCTACTTGTAATAGCTCATTTAGTCTACCCCCCTGCCAGTGCAGGAATGTTCTCTACAATATATTTACTACAGCTTTCGACACTGGATTGAAAAGTCTAAAAGACTGAATCATCTACTTCACGCTTTGGAAGACTGGTCCACAGCCCTACAGGTAGGTTATTCACTTGATATTTAGTTTCATTTATATTCACTGAATTTCATCTTCGCACTTCCAAGCAGCATCCCATTTCCTACTTAAGCAAAATCCTTTTAACACATTTCTAGATAATTATATACATTTGGGAAAACACTAAGAATACATATTTTGATATAAAGGAAATGTAACTTGATCTCCCACATCTGAATAAAAAATGAATCTAGGTAGAAATATCCCTATTACAAAACAGAGGGCTGCAGCAGAACATTCTCTGTAGTAGGAGCTGGAAACTTGAGAGTTGAATGGAAATAGCAACCACAGGACTTAAAACTCTTCTGTTAAAGGCTGGGAGAATTAGAAAACGGCTAAAATACTAAAGCAGGCAAAGAAAGCACTTTTTTTTTTTTTTTTAATTTCAATAATTGGAGAGAATTGATTTAAGTGATGCACTTGCCACCTGGATGTATAATTAGTTAGCAGTGCTACTGCCACTCTTCTACCCTTCATACATTCTTCTCTAGGAAAAAGGGTACAGAGTTCCCAAGTTGCACAGCAGAACTACTTGAAAAGACAGCTCCTTCCTTACCCTATCAACTGCTAGCAGTTCACTTCATTGTAATATTCATCTAATGACAACTATCAGTATATTCTCGCAGTACAGCACAGTGTACCACACTGAGATATTTGAAAAAAGAAAATATTTTCTTCTCAACTTCTATGAGGATTCATGAGTGTGAGGGAGAAGAAAATACAGAGAGAAAGAATACAACAGGTTGCTAGTTATAACCCTTAGTAGGGTTAGAAAAGTGCAATTGCTCTCAAATAATTCGTTTGAGAAATGCAGTGATGCACACTGAAGATACTTAGCCAGTACTGGCTCAGCAGTGCATTCTGAGATCCCATAGTAGCTTTCAGATGGGAGTCAAAATGCATTCTGTAAAGCTAAATTAATTTGATGGGTGGAAAAACACTTCCACGTGTGTGGACTGACAGACAGATGGGTCACAGAGCTCCTCACAGCAGCAGCAGAAGACACCTCAGTAGTCAGTGCCATCCTCTCCAGCTCCCACATGCAAAAGCTCTCCACGCGCACCCCAGCAGCAACTTGGCACAACCAAACTGCATGGGCAACCTGCTAGCACAGCTCTTCTGTCATCTTGCTCCTATGGAGGAGCAAAAAGCTGCTTGCTTCCCTGGAACACAACAGCTAGATCTATGCTACAGGAACAAGGGAGACGGTTTGGGTGAGTAACAAGTAGCCATGGAATGCTGCTGACAGCCAAGCCCAAGCTATAGGCGTACCATGGCTGTGCTCCCACAGAGAAACACAGAGGAGCTGATCTCCTCATTGTTACTATCTTTTGGAGCAAGTTTGAAATGCCCAGAGGGGATGCTTCATGTACTAACTTGGTATGTACAGTACCAAGTCTTTTGGCTTATCAGCTGGAGTGGGAGTAGTCTGGCAGAACCATTGTTTTTGTTGAACAATCTGAGACCATTAATAAGCTGGAAGGGAGAATTTATCACTGTCAGCTTTTAAGAAAATACTTCTTTGGAGAATACTTTGTGGAAAACACAGCTTAGCCACTTTTATGTGATTACCTTTCCAATAACTGTAATAACATTAAATTGTAATATTGAGTCTTCAAGGTACCTTTCCTTGCAAAGCAAGTACTCAGCCATATTGCCAAACAAGCAGCACACTGGAAAAGATCAAAACTACTACCACAGTTAGTTTTGAAGGTTTTTTTTTTGCTGGTGGCTTATAGAATTGTGAAAGCTAAAAAGAAAAAGAGTTTTTGAATCCGACTGTCTTGGTCATAATGTGAACTGTTTGATATTTTGCATTTTGCCCTCACTATCTAGCACCTTTTCTATAATTTCTTTTGTGGAAGGAGCTAACGAAACTGCAATTTAAAATTGCCGTATATAAACGACTTTGTTTGCATAACAAATGAAGACCAAACAATACCCAAAAGTTATATACACAGTGGTGAACAGCTTTGATCACTACAAGACTATGAGTATGAACTAAAACACACTACCAAGCACTAGCTGCCATTTTTATGTCCATTTCTCATTGCTGTAAATTATAGGTAGACAAGAAGAGCATGCTTCTGTCCTGTCACCACTCTGTTCTCTCTCTTAGCGAGTATGAGAAGATCCAAACTTTCACCATTTGAAGTGTCCTGGCACTCAAGGGATTTCCATTTTGAAGATTATGCAAGTTACACAGCAAAATACATCAGCATTTTGAGCAACCACAACAGTTGAGTGAAAACAGGTGCTTAACAGATGCTGCCCAGGAAGCTACAAGCTATCCCATGCTGCCAACCTGCCAGATCCTTGGAGGTGGTGCAGAGCTCAGCAAGGACAAGTCACAGCCCCAGCAGCTGCCTCTGGCCCCTTTGTCACTAAACTGAGAGCTGCTCTCTGCAGCATGGAGCTGGGGTTGGTTCTGGAGCTGCTCTTTGCTCTGCACCACTATTTGTACAACTGCAGTACTTACACTCTGCATTGCAGTATGACTGGGAGGTAAAACAAGTGCCTATCACTGCAGTGTACAGCTTAACAGCAAGCTAGATCACTTCACTCAAGTACTGAGCAAGGAGAGTGGTGCATACCAATGGCTGCCTCAATAATTACTCCTGACTATCATCAGATTCGCAATGAGTAGATATTGCATATTTTGTGTTTAACAAACCTTTCACCCACCCGGCCACCCTGCCTTTCAGAGGTTGCTGTAGGCACTTGTTCCATTTTCTCTGTACTCTACCATTGCAATGGCAAAATGGGAGTTTCTCACAACATAGCAAAACAACAGACAACAGGCATCATCGTATGCACTACAATGGGAATGGCCCAGGAGAAGACGCTTTCCAGATGCACCATCTTAGACCAGATGCACCATTCTCTACCACCACAAAAAGAGATCCAGAAAAAAAAAAGTGTTTGTGGATACAACACCCGCAGCAGATGGCAATAAAAGAAGACTCAAATTAGTGGCATTCTGTATCGCCAAACCTAAACTTCATCTCACATCAACACTACCCATAATAGTGTTTCAGTAGGAAAAGAAATTTACTCAAATGTGAAATAAGCTATTACGCATTCTTAGTTCTGATTCACAGTCTCAGACTGGCAGTGACAGTAACATTTTAATAAACATTAGAATGAAGACACCAATATGACCAAATGACACACTTAAAGTGAGAAAACGAACAGGAGAAACCTTGGCATATTCATCCATAACAGAACCAAAGGAAAAAAAAAAAAAAAAAAGAGGCAGAGAAACTCCTTTTGCAATCCAAACAGTAAATACTTTATCGTAATTTATTAGACAGAATGAGAATGTAAATGAGAATTTGGGAAAGCCAATATTTTCTTAAACAGGCACTCGAAGCATTTGCTGCAAATGCTGAAGTGATCAGGCTGTTTGCTCACAGCCAGCCCACAGATCTGCTCACAGCCATGCAGCTCCCAGCACATTCTACAAGGGGCAAAGACATGGCCAGGCACTCCCCAATCTCTGAGCCATGTCACAATTAAACATCCAGGAATGTTATCAATCAGAGGCTTCCCCGCACACACACAGACAG